CGAGTCCCCGCCGCTCCGGGCCCTGATGGTTCCCCGACCCGGCGCCGAGCCCTCAACACGCTGCCCCGGGCCACCCCGGGCGGGTGCCTGCTACAAAACCTCAGGCACTTTGCGCAGGCTGACTCAGCCATCTCCAGGCGGGCTTTGGTGGTGTCCAGAGCTGCGCGGTGGGCTTGGAGGCAGCTGGAGCCAGAGGGACGGTCGGGAGCGGGCCACGGTCAGACTTTACAGCTGAGTCCCATTATGTAGGTCTTGGAGCTTGGGGAGGCTTAGAGAAAGTTGTGTAAGATCAAGGTTTTATTAGGCTTCCGCTGCAATCCGGGACCTGGCGCTGGGCCAATTGGAGGGAACTTAGTCGTTGGTCATCGCCTTTAAAGAGGAGAGATTAACCATGAGGCAAGGTCCACGCTGTTGAGTCTTTACTCTGGAGGTTGGCTGGCAGGACAGGTGAGGTCAGGGACCGTGCAAGTCACTACCCTGGTCCCCTCAAATGCTTGGCAAGGGCCTTTGATGACTGTCCGCTTGAACCTTTCTGTGCACCAACCTTGTCAAGTGCATCATGTGCATAAACTTAATCTTTGCAACACTGGGAAGTCAGTGTTATAATTCTCCTTTCACTGATCCCCAAACGGGCTGGAAGGGCTAAGTACCTTGCCCAGAGTCACACAGCTTCAGGTGATGGAGCTGGGGTTTGTTCTCCGCCAGGTCTAGTTGCAGTGTAATGGGAAAGGTGAGACCCAGCCTCAGCAGGCAATTCTAGGGGCAGTGAGCTTTGTTTTCTAATTTTGCTTAATGCAATGCAGACTTTTCTGAAGAGACACTGGGGGAAGACAACCTGAGGGTAAATAGATGTAGCTCCAGCTGCACAGTAGGTGTTGTGCTCATAACTGGAGCACATTGTGAGGGGCTTCAGCTGGGTGTCCTGAGGGGTTGCCAGCACATATGACTGACAAGTTCGTTCAGTGCCAGGGACTGAACCCAGGGTCTTGCACATGATACAGTCCAGTGTTCTACCTCTGAGCAACATCTCTCCCTGACTGCACCGAAGTAAATGGCGCGGACTGGGAGAAGTATCCTTTCCAAGGTTGCTGTCAAAGCCCTTAATGCTCCTCCTTGTTGACTGACCTTGAGGTTATCTTTCCCAGAAGAGTTCTTGATGCGAGTTTTCTATTTCATGGACTCATAGGACAAAAGAAGATGCAAATGGTTGTTGAAGTCAAGCCCCATCTGATACAGGAGCCCCTTTGGCCTTTTCTGCAGATAACCACATACCTGGCCATGTGGCCACCCCCTGTGCCTGTAAGGGAGCTCTTAGTGCTGAGCTGAAACCTGTCCTAAATTTCCCTCTTTTCTGCTTAGGCTTTGCTCTGGGCCCCTCGGCCTTCTTTACCTTCCTCCATTCTGTGATATGCCTTCATCCCCCAGCCACTCTCTCTGGACCATTCTGAGGCCACCCACACCAGATGCTCACTGTCCCAGCCAGCCACGGGCCAGAGAGTAAAAGTGATGCTCACTACTTCTCAGGGGGGCCAGGGCATCTGCGGGGCTCCCCTGAATCTCCTGGACGGCCTTCTTTCCTTTTAGCTGCGAGGTGGAACTGTGGGATTCTGATGAGCCCATCACCAGCAAGGAGCTGGAGAGACGTGTGGCAGGGGCCTACGGCCTGCTCTGCCTCCTCTCTGACCGTGTGGACAAGAAGATCCTGGATGCTGCAGGTGTGTGTACGGGGTCAGCCTGGGCAAGGTTCCCGGGGTCTCAGCCTTGTGGGGCACATCAGCCTGTGGCAGCTGCCTCATGAGAAAACCTGTAGCACTGTCCCTGCATTCTGAGGGTGTGCCCGACATGGCTGGGAGGTTGCTTGAAGCTTCATCTGGCTTGTGGGTTGCCCTCCACCCCTTACTGCTGTGAGTCCTTGAGGGAGGGCCCAGGAGGGTAAAGACCTTGGTGTGGTGGGTATGGAGGAGGGAAGACTGGGACCACAGCCTTGCTTTGTGACCTGAGCAAGTACTTCCTTTTCTGGGCCTGTGTGTAGCAGAAGGGAGGCCCCAGCTCAGTGCCTCGTACCAGCTGGCACCCAGAATGTATCTGCACAGCCCCAGCCCCAGAGGCTGCTGGTTGGAGAGAGGTGCTTTGAGTCAGAGTTAAGCCACCCCTAGAAGCCATCTAGTAAAGGAGAAGTTATGAGAGAGTCTCAGTGCTCTCAGAGGTATCCATGGGAGGTCCCAGGTGTGGCTGAAGGGGACCCAGGCCTCACCCGCAGACAGTCTAGAAGAGAAATCCAGTATCCAAGTCCCCAAGGGGAGCCCTGGCTCTGCTTTTGACTGGGCCAGGGCCCCTAATATCTCTGAGACACTAGATGGCAAAGAGGATTGTCTCAAGTTTTACCTGCAGAATAGTAATTCTAAGAAAATAATAACAGCAGCCAGGCATGGTGGCGGACGCCTATAATCCCAGCACTCTGGAGGCTGAGGCAGGAGGATCACTGTGAGTTCAAGACCAGCCTGGGCTACATAGTGAGTTCCAAGTCAGCCTCAACTACATAGCGAGACCCTGTCTCAAAAAAACAAACAAACAAAAAGAAAATAATAATAGGTGCCCCTAGCATAGTCCTGTGTCCTGGCTTTGGATTCCACGAGGAAAGACACAATGTGTTTTCTTTCCACAGGAGCTAACCTCAAAGTTGTCAGCACACTGTCTGTGGGTGTCGACCACTTGGCTTTGGATGAAATCAAGAAGCGGTAAGCAGAAGCTGAGCTCTGGAAGGGCCTAGAGTGCAGGGCAGTGCCCACATGGTGCAGAAGAGGGTTGCTTGTTTTCACTTTGCATCCCTCAGTAAGAATGTGAAGTAGCTGATGAAAATTCATCCACACGTGCACAAATCAGTTAGAACAAACCTGGGTTGGACACAGTGCATGCCTACAGCATAATCCCAGCTACTCGGGAGGCTGAGGCAGGAGAATTGAAAGTTAAGTTCAGCCTGGGCAACTTACCTGTCTCAAAATTAAAAACTAAGAAAGGTGTGGTGACACAGGCCTGTAAGCCCAGCACACTAGAAGGCCAAGGCAGGAATTACAAGTCGGCGCCCATTACATATTTATAATACTATGTCTTAGGTGTATCATGTATTAGATAAATCACACAAACCCAAGAAAGTTGGCAACAGTGAGTAACCGCTGTCCAGTGTCATCCTTTCGCATTCACCATAACCTTGGAAGGAGACACAAGTATTGTTTCCTTTTCTGATGAAGAAATTCAGAACGATTTAAATAGCGACTTGGCCCACACTTTGAGCCCTAATCTTCTATCTTCATAGCCTTACCAAAGTGGGAGATAATCAAAATGCATGTGGGGACTATGCATTTCTCAGTGCTCATTAAATGAAGCTCTGAGCTTCCTGGCAGGCAGAGCAATGGAAGAGCAAAGTAACATCATGAAAAGACCCAGCAGTGGACCCTGGTGAAGGTTCATGAGGCCAGTGTTACCACTAGATGTTTGATTCCTAGTGGGATCCGAGTGGGCTACACCCCAGAGGTCCTGACGGATGCCACCGCGGAGCTGGCTGTCTCCTTGCTGCTCACCACCTGTCGCAGGTTGCCAGAGGCCATGGCAGAGGTGAAAAAGTGAGTGCCACCCAGCGGGAAATGGGCTCTGCTCAGCAGCTAGTTCCTGAGCAGGAGGCTCAGCCTGGCCCAGACGTGCTCCCTGTGCCGGGTGGGCCCCATCTCGTGAGGGAGAATTGACTCAGCTAAAATGTTAAAGCATAAGACTGAGCTACAGAAAACAGGGCATGATGGGAAGTCATGAGAGATGAAGACAGAATGAGACAAATACCTTCTGCTGGTTAAGGGTTAGGGGAGGAATGCAGATAGGGGATGGCTTCGTGGGAGGAGGAGGGATGTGCCCTGGAGCACTGGGGGTGATTCTGATGCAGGGTGCGCCCCAGGTACTGCCAGGGTGCTGCATAGAGCGCGTGTGGGCACTGTGCTGCCTTCCTCACAACTGGAGCTGTGCAGCCTGGCCTGAGGGTTTCAATGTGTATGTGTAGTCAGCAGGGGCTCCAGGAGCTGGGAGCAGGGGCAGTGCTGCGAGCATGCTGGGAGTGAGCAGACAAGGCCCTCAGAGAACATGGCCAGGGGCCTGGCTGCTGCATGGGGCACTGGCCGACGTGACGGTGCTGGTGTTCTGCTAACAGTCCTGTCTAGAACGCCACACCTTCGCTGGTAGTGGCTCAAGATAGGCTCCATCCCTTGCCCACCAAAAGCAATGGGGCAGCCTTGTTGCTTTGCTTTTGTTGCTGCTGAGTTCTGAGAGAACTTGTTTTGGAATCTCAGATCCCAAGTCTGCAGCCCACTGCCCCCAATGCCCCTGACTGTGTCACCTTGGGCAGCTTACCTTTCTGGTCTCAATTTCCTCATCTGCAAAAAGGGTCAGAGCCTCTGAGCCCTCTTACAGTCCTTAATGTCTGTGTCCCAAATGATTTAAAGGAGGAGTCATCCTTGCTGCAACTCAAAGTGCTGAGTGGCTGTAGTGTTGCTATTCCACTCTCAGTCCAGGTTTAAACCTTGGACCCCAGGCAGATGCAGGTGTATGTGGTTCATTTGGGCCTTATCTTTGCCTGAGACCTGGTGCTCAGTGCCTCACCTCTCTCCTCCACAGTGGTGGCTGGACCTCATGGAAGCCCCTGTGGATGTGTGGCTACGGACTCACACAGAGCACTGTCGGCATCGTGGGGCTGGGCCGCATAGGTAAGGCTGTCCCTGCCCTCTCCTACCTATCTCAGCACCCCAGGCTTGGGTTGAATCCCTGGTGTCGTGTTCCTCAGTGCTGGACGTCCCTCTTTGGAAAAGTTGTCGCCTCTATCGCATGCCAGCAGGGCACTTCCCACAGGGATATCTCCAATGAGAAGAGACAGCCTTGTAAAGGCAAAGGAATAAATACAGTCAGGAGTTCCTTTAGGACTCACTAGGTGATGAAGCCAGTTGCTAGGAGCCAGAGTTCCTAAGGAATTCAGCCCCATGGAGAACAGGTGAAGGCTGTAGATGCTAGGTGGGACCTTGAGGAGTGGTTACTGTGGGACAGCTTTTCCACTCCCAGGTTGGGCTTGGAAGCACTGACTTTGGAAGCCTTGACGGGTTCCAGAGAGCTCACTGGACAGGGTTTATCTACAGACACAGCAGACCAACTTTGCTTCTGGTGGCCTGTGATTGGAGAAGTCTGGCAGAAAGGCTCAGGCTCAGCCAGGCAGCTGCTAGTGGTGCTCTGTCACCTGGTAAAGGGCGAAGCTAAGGGTGGCCAGTGTGGATAACCTGCCTGGCCAGCCAGCGGTCTGCTTCTCTCACGGGAGAGTTGCTTGGAAGAGCCCAACAACTTTAGGCTGTGTTCTGAGTTTGAAGACCCAACTGACATTCCGATCTCAGTGCATCTTATATGAAAACGTCTTGTAAGTCTTGGGCAAGTTGGCAGTTGATCAGTGCCATCAAAAAGTCAAAGAAGCTGGGTGTGGTAGTGCACACCTGTAATCCCAGCACTCGGGAGGTTGAGGCAGGAGGATCTCTGTGAGTTTGAGACCAGCCTGGGCTACATAGTGAGTTCTAGGTCAGTCTCAACTACATAGTGAGACCCTGTCTCAAAAAACAACAAAAAAAGTCAAAGAAGGTCTGAATCTACATTAACAGAAGCAGAGGGTCCAGAAAGAGGGAGGGGATTGCTGGAGGGACCCAGCTCTAATAAGACAGGACCTAACATAGTCCCCTGTCCTTAGATCTGCTGGCTGTTGCCCCTATCCTCTGAAGGGTAGGAACAAGCCATGGACTCTGATTCTTGCCTCTAGGCCAGGCCATTGCTCGGCGTCTGAAACCGTTTGGTATCCAGAAATTTCTGTATACAGGGCGCCAGCCCAAGCCTCAGGAAGCAGCCGAATTCCAGGCAGAGTTTGGTAAGTAAAATCTTGATTTCCAGAGGAGCCCTGCCTGTGCTCATCTGGTGCATTCTCTTGTCTTTAGTGATGTTGTGTAGGCAGAATATAGGTGCTCCAGGTGGTCTGGGGCTGCCATGTCGCCTAGGTATTACCTGACCTGCCTCTGGACACAGGCACACTCAGGGAGTACAGACACATACCCGGCTCACTCTATGAGTTCTCTCAGTGTGGGCAGAGCCCCAGGGATGTGCTGGGCTGAGGAAAAGCTGGGCACTGACCAGCCCAGCCTGTCTGTGCCTTGGTCCGTGGATAGCTTCTGTGGGGACACAGTGCGGTGAGCAGATGGCAGAGTAGATCTCGACCATTCCTCCCTCCTAGCACATCCAGCCCTGAAGGTGGTAAAAGTCAGAATGGCCCAGATTCCACCATGTGACCTTGAACAAGCTTCGGCCTCAATTTCTCCATCTGTTAGACTAAGGGGCTGAGTGGAAGATGTGAGACACCAGGATCCCATGAATGGCTGCTGACTTCGTACAGTCATCAGAGCTGTTGAGGCCTTCAGAAAGCATCTTGGGAGTTTCTAGTGGGGGATGGCAGAGCCTGGTCTCTACCCTCCTGCTGTCCCTCAACTCTGATGTTGTTTTCCCCCCTTCTTCCCAGTGTCTGCCCCTCAGCTGGCCGCAGAATCTGACTTCATCATGGTGGCCTGCTCCTTAACGCCTGAGACCAAAGGGCTCTGCGACAGAGACTTCTTCCAGAAGATGAAGAAAACAGCTGTGTTTGTCAACATTAGCAGGTAGCCTGGGGCTGCCGAATATCCTGGGGTCACCCAGCAATCCTGGAGAGGGGCTGTCCCCACTGCTGTCATCTAGGCTTCCCTGTGGGGTACTGATGAGACCTTGGGCTGAGCATGTCAGGCTCCACAGATCGACTAAGCAACAACTCAGATATACAGCAGAGGCTATCCAAGAGCCAAGTTAGGAAGAAGAGGGATCAGAGCAGAGCCTGGGCCTTCTGGCACCCACAGTACTCTCAGCCTCGACAAAGCCCTGGCACACTGTAGTGTGGATTGGGGGAGGGCCTAGCAAGCAGAGTCACCAGGGAGCCTCATCTTCCTCTACCAAAGAGTTGGACTTTCTGATCTGGCTGCCCCTTCGGAGACCAATCTTCCATGCCATTGAGCCTGTGAGTTCAGTGATGGTTTGAACTTTGCACTCCTGGGTAGACAGGCTTAAAACTCAAATTTTCCTAGTGTCCCAAAATGTCCTCAGGAGTGTGTTCAGGCCACTGGGATATACAGGGGAAGATGTTCCTTCTCCACCATTGTAACTCCTTCCTAGCTGATACCCTTTAAACCTTTTTAAATCAATTTGGAGAAGGCATTGGATGAGGTCAGCTTGAGGGCTCGCACACCCTAAAGGTACCTGTAATTACCAGTGCTTAGCTACTGCCGCGGGTGGCAGAGCAAGCAGTGTCAGAACAAAGGTCTTCAGCTGATGGCCTATGGTAGCCCTAGTTTCTGTTTGCTGAGCACCTGCATGTGCCCAGGACTGTACAAATCCTTCATTACAATAGTCCTTTTTGGGCCAGGCGTGGTGGTGCACAACTCTAATCCCAGCACTCGGGAGACTGAGGCAGGAGGATCGCTGTGAGTTTGAGACCAGCCTGGGCTACATAATGAGTTCCAGGTCGGTCTGAACTACATAGTGAAACCCTGTCTCAAAAAACCAAAAAAAAAAAACCCACAAAAAAACAATAGTCCTTGTTGCACAAGTATCTTGTGTGTGTGCAGTATGAAGTCTTGAGAACCAGTTCTTTAGTGGCTGTTCACTTTGATGGATGCAGTGAGGTTTCTATGCCTGATGGCATGCGGTGGTTCTCAGCGGATGATCTGAGGGCCAGCCAGATCAGAGACACCTGTATGAAGCCCAAGACAAGTGCAGACTTCTGGGCCCCATTCATGCCCTAGTGCATGCAAGTAAGCTTTAACCCTACCAGTACTCCTTGGAGTTAAGTGGCATTCTCCCTATCTTAAGAGGAAGAGCCTGAGGTCAGAGAAGTTGAGACACTTGGCCAGGGTCAAGTGCTAAGTCTGCAACTATTAATTCTGTGGGTTGGTTGTTCTGCCCTAAAGGCAGTCTGGTGGGGGAACGTGGGATGCTCATACCACCACTCCCATTTCCAGGGGAGATGTTGTAAACCAGGATGACCTGTACCAGGCGTTGGCCAGTGGTCAGATTGCAGCTGCTGGGCTGGATGTGACAACCCCAGAACCGCTGCCTACAGGGCACCCCCTGCTGACCCTGAAGAACTGTGGTAAGAGCTGCATTTGCAGTGCGACTCCTCACTGTTTGGCATCCTAAGTGTGCAAGGGCTGGGCCAGAAGCTCAAGTGAGCAGTGCTGTGCACAGAGGGACACACCTGAGACATGACATACCCGTTAGTTGACACCGGTACTTAATAATGGGAGGGATCCTTCTGAGCATGCCCTAAAGGAACAGAACATGAGGGTAACTGGATTTGTTAAAAGTGCCTGGCCACACATACTTACAGATGTAACATGCCTTCTGTCACAGCTAAAATGTGTTGCTATTATCAGAGAGTGAGCAAAAGAAGTCCTGTTTACCAGTGTTTATAGCTTCTGCCAATTATGAAGCTGTTCTTTTTTTTTTTTTTTGGTACCAGGGATTGAACTTATGTTCTTGGCACTTGTGAGGCAGGCAGCAGAACCTCTGAGCTAAATCCCCAGCCCTAAGCTGTTCTCTTGATGCAACAAATCCCCTTCTCTGTTCTCTTTGGATGGGGCTGAGCCTCTGCACACCCCATTTCTGTGCCAGCTGGCCCTACCAGACCCTGTAACTTTGCTCCCTGCTGCTTTCCCGTCTGTCTCTCTGGGAGCGACACTTCTCCCAACACTTCCGGGGCAGCAGCAGTTCCTTCCTGTTGTGGCTGGAGGGATCCAGTTTGCAGCTTTTCTAGCCAGTGGCCCCAACAGAGATCTAAATCTGGACTTCAGAGGGGCTTTTCCATCCATCTGCATTTTTTCACAATCCCACCCCTTTTCTCTGACACCACCCCCTGCTCCCCCACCCTAAGGGATGCTGCAGCAGTGCTGTACTTCTCCCTTCGCCTGGTCACCTGGAGGGACTGAGCCACATGGCTGGTGGACCTCACCTGAGGGCTTCTGCTTTAGCAGGACGGAGCCATGGTCTGAGGTCATCTGAGGTCATGTGCACCTGACAATCTCATGACAGATGTGGCTGAGCCACTCAGGGAACCTCAACCTTTGTGCTTGCTCTTTTGCCTCTACCTGGTTAACAACTTTCTACCCCATTCATAGTTCTTTATATTAAGTTCTGTCCAGGTCTTAGTATGGTTTCCACCTCCAGACTGACAATTTACATTCTAAAATGGAAACCCAAACAAGTCCTTTGCTGCCTTCCCAGTGAATTCTCCCGTTATTGCAGCCCTTGGTAACTCTGCCGTCCCTGCCCCTGAGCAAGCCCTCAAGAAACCTTGACTGTGATGAAAATTGGCACTGTTCCTCAGGCCTAGTCAGCTTAGTACCCTGGAAGCTGCTTCAAAAGGCAGCTGTTTAGGGATGAGTGACCTCATTTGCTGTAGTGGGGCCTGGGAGAGCTGCAGTATCAACGCTTCGTCTTGGAATTTTTGTTTTTGCAGTACTGGAGACTGAACCCATCCCATCTCTCTTTTTAATTTTAAGACAGGGTCTCATGCTAAGTCATTAAGTCACAGGGGCTGGGCTTGAATATGATTCTCCTGTCTCAGGGTCCCAGAGTGCTGGGATTACAGATGTGTGCCATCACACATGCTTCATCTTGAAGTTATTCTGAAGGATACAGGCTGTAGGTGGTCAGAACTAAGTTCCTAAGCTAAGCTGGCACCTGGTTTCACCATCTAGTCTCTGAAAGGCTGTGTTTAGATAGGTGCCAAGATCCCTGTAGCCCTGCTGCCATCTTTGTGTGTAGATACAAACCTTTCGTATCTCTAATATTGAAGTCTCAGTAGCCTGGGGTCTCTCTGCTATTCTCTGAACCTCATCCCTACTAACAATATTTGCGTAGGGAAGGCAAATGAAGGCATATTGAGGCAGGTTCTCTTCTTTTTAGGTAAAGCCAAGCCATGAAAGAGAAGCCCAATTTATGGACCCCCATCCCAAATACTGAGGATTGAACCCAGGGCCTTCCTACTGAGCTACATCCCCAGCCCTTTTTTAAATTTTTTTAAGACAAGGTCTTGCTAAGTCATTGAGTTGCCCAGGCTAGGACCAAACTTACGGATTAAGGTCTTGAACTCTTAGCTCCAGCTCTTCCCTTTCCTTTCCAGTGATTCTGCCCCACATTGGCAGCGCCACTTACAAGACTCGCAACACCATGTCCTTGTTGGCAGCTAACAACTTGCTGGCTGGCCTGAGAGGAGAGCCGATGCCTAGTGAACTCAAGCTGTAGCCAGACAGCCCCGCGGGCTGAAGTCAGTGCCTGGTGTTCTGCCGACACGCCAGGCTGGATCTGGCCCCACAGGTGGGAGCCGAGGGAAAGTCTGCTCCCATGCTGCAAGTGAAGATGGGTGCTGGTTGATGTGCTTTGCTACTTCTGTGGCTGGACACATGCAAGCCAAAAGCCTGTAATTTGATCATTAAATAATTTTCTAAGACTGTCTCAGCCTGTAACTAGAGGAAGCTAACGAAAAGAGCAAGTTTCTAACTTGGGACAGCCAGTGACCTGCCCTTCCCATCTGGTCCTTACCCTGAGCACTTGTAGTTCCTTCCCAAGGCCCTCACCAAGGGCAGGACAAGTGGAGCCTGTTAATCATGGAGCTTCAACCCAGGACCTAGACCATCAGAAAAGTTTAAGAGCACATAAAGCAAAGGGGAGTTATCTAGAAGGACTTAGGTTAGGTCGACGCTCTTTTGGTTGAGAATGACTAGAGGAAGGTGGGTTCCTCAATTTCAGAATTAGTTTTTGTACCTACACTTTGCTCCCTTTACCCGTCTCATCCTCTATTCCCTACCTAGGTGAACACTTTTTTGTGTGACAGGATTTCACTGTGTGGTTCAGTTGGCCTTGGACTCACCATGCAGCCCAGACTGGTCTCTTGTGATCTTGTCTCAGCCTCCCCAAGTGCTGGGATTATAGGCATGGGCCACCACACGTCCAGATCTTTTAAGTCATCTTACTCTTCCCCAAAGCCAGGACACCAGCATTGCCATTGCCAAAGCTCTGCTCTGCTAAAGAAATCAGCTCCCACCCACCCCCTAGTGGGCCAAACTGGCAAATAAAGCAGTCAACAGCAGCCCAGCACAGGGTTGAGTGGCCTCCAAGAGTAACTGGGCAGACTGAGAACAAAATCGCATTCATGTCCACAGACCAGACGGGAAGCATGTGGAGAAAGCAAAAGGAACAAATAATTGGAGGGGAATAAGAAATTACTGTTATTCATTGACTGCATTACAGTCCTAGGAGCTTGGTTTAAAAAAGCACCAGAAGGGCCAGGGACTTAGCTCAGTGGCACAGCACCTGCCTTGCAAGCACAAGGTCCCGAGTTCAACCCCTGGTACAAAAAAAGAAAAAAAAAAGTACCAGAAGCAGGGCTAACAGAGAGAATATAGTACTACTTCCTGTTTTGTTTCAACTTCAACCTAAGCAAAGAAAAAGAACACATATTTAGAGGCATGGATATGACAAATGTTTTATTTCAAAATCTCAAATTTTAATCAGCCTAGCACCACTGATACTGGTGCCCTGACAGAACTATTTGTTGTTATCCAGGAAAGACTATGATTTTGCCAGGCTTACAATTAAGGCTAACCAATCAATATTTAGGTCCCCTATTCAATACCAGTTGGAATCCAGGTAGAAACTCTAGAGCATAGGAACCCTGGGACTCGTTTTCCAGGGAACCTTGGAATTATTTTAAGTGCTATAGTCTGATCCAGGACACTGGCCCACAAGTTTGCTTCTCACACATGGAAACTGATCTGAAGAGGTAGATGAGATTCCAGGTTCCATCTAGCAGTGGAGAGGCAGGACCCTGGTGTGTGTCAGAGACGGGCCCAAAAGGCAAGTTCACTTTTGCCTGAGCAAGGGTGAGGAGGTTCCTGGGACCACCTCTGAAAGAGGGAAGGGGAGTGGCCATGCCTGTGTCACTGGCTCCTTGCCCCCAGGCCCAAACAGAGCTTCTCATTCCCCATGCTGACCCACCTGACTCCCAAAGTCCATCTCCTCACAGGACACTGGTCCCTACATCATGTGGAGGATGGATGTGGAGCCTCTCACATCACATCAGGACAGGACAGCTGACATTGAGCCACACAGAACTGAATTTCACAGGTGACCACACATCCTCCCATGGTCCCCCACATCTGCCCAAAGGAGGAGCTGCAGGTTTCCTTGTGAGCTTTCCTCCTTGGAATCGGTTCATAGGAGACACCAAGCCTTCTATGAACATTAGATTTATCCACAGATGTGTATTGTACATACTACATTAAGAGGAGAGGGCACACACTTATTTTTGTTTTAAACTACACATAAATACTTAACTTTCTAAACATAAGAACTGAATAAATTCTCTGAATTATGCACAATGGTTTAGTTATTTCAAAGAAAGTTGTATAAAAAACAAAATGAGCTAAACTGAGTTCTACAGAGACACATGAACCTGGGCTGTTCCCCTGGGTACACGAGCAAGGGGATGGCCAAACATGGGTGCCATTAACAGCCCCAACAGCACAGTATCAGAGAACAGCAAGGTGGGGTGGGGGAAGTGAGACAAGAGGCCCCAGGAGGCCCTGGGCAGTGACTCAAATGCCTCTCCTGCAGTCTCAGATGCTACTGGGTGACTTCTGTGCTGTGGGCTGCCTCATCTCTTACAAAGCTTGGAAAAGACTGGTCTGTGAATGCTACTACATTTGGATATCAAACGATTTTAAACCCTCAGTATCGGGAAGCAACAGTAAAGTTATGGGTCTATACTTTTAAAGAATAGTATATAACAGTAATAAAAACCCATGGGAGATGACAGTATTTTTGGTTAGTCTGTAACTGAATCAGTCATCTAGGGAGAAAGGCCATATGGGGAAGGGGAGCATGAAGAAACAGTGGAAAATGGGCTTGTCCTCAGATGGGATGTGTTAAATTCGGCCTTTAGTGTCTGATGGAGCAAAAAGGCAATGGATCATGAAACTGCCACAAAACATGACTCCACATCATCAGAACAAAGACAAACAACTAGCTCTTTTCTGACTTCCAAACATGGAACTGCAACATTGGTAACACAAATTGGTTAAAATTCTGCTAAAACAGCACATACAGAAACAATACCTTACTTGTCACTCCCTATAAGTACATACTGCATTTACAACTTTGTCTTTAAAACCGGAAAAAACAAACTGTTTAAAACATCTACCCAACAGATGTACTCAAAAGTATATACACCTATTAGTCCAAGAGAATGCTCGCCTGGACCCAGTGTCAGCACCATCAAAGTGCAGTGTCTGTGACTGCAAATCAGACAAAAATAAAAAATACAGTACTTTCTGAGGCCTAGGACTATCTCAGCATTTAAAGCATTTGTGGCAGACAGGTATGTCCTCAAGGGTCTTCCTTTGAGACAGGCACCAAGTCACCACTGGTTACACATAAGTGCATTTTGCATCACTGTACAGGGATATAATATTCCCATCAGGGGTATAGGAAGTTTAATTAAATGCTTCACAGAGCTTTATAAAAATTGATAAAAAATTGTTTTGCACTTCCATTTTTAATTTTTAAGTGTGCCACTTCAAACAACATCAATTACAAACTATTTTTATGACTGCATTACTCAGCCCTAAGGAAGAACTCGGTTCCAGGGAACTACTGCATCCCATTCCCGAGGTGTGCACTTCACTCAGAAATGCCACAGCCAAATGCTACCTGTAGGCTGCCCACTTAAGAGCTGAAATTTGCAAGAGCCACTGGGCAGCTGAAGCCTCAAACCCAAAGGCATTAACTGCTCATTAAAAGCAATTTTAGTTTCAGTCCCACAACTGGCCCCGGCATTGTCTCACGGGGGCAGTTAGAGCAAAGTGCTGGGAAGGTTGCTGCTCTGCCAGCGCAGGCAAGTAGTTTTTGAATGTTTATACAGGTGGCTGGACTGACTAAACCTCTTGCCACACTTCAGGCAGGCATACGGCTTTTCACCTGTGTGAACACGGATGTGCTTCTTGCAATCTGTCAAAGTCAGAAAAGTTTTGCAGCAGATTTTGCAGGCATACTTGCGAGCTCCCTCTACAACCAAGACATTGTGCTCTGATAAGGCCTTCTTGCACTTTGACAGGACATCAGCAGATGCCCTGGTCAACTGCGGAGGGCCAGGTTGGGAAGGATGGCCATTTTCAAATGAGGATGTAGCCCCATTCATCATTAGTTGGGAACTGGCAGAGTTTTCTGGGATCTGTGAACTCCTAACAGAAGTTACAACTGGCATTTTGGGAGCTATGCGGCGATAGTATGGAAAGTTACTGGCTCCTCCTCTTGGGGAACCCATCATTACTCTGGAAAAGGAGGAGTGGAGTCCCAGTCCAGACCTGGAAAAATCCATCCCAAACTGCTCTCCCTGGTAGCCTGAGGTCTGCACACATGGCAGGCCCATCACCTCCTGCATGGGCCTCACAAAGTGGGAGTCTGTTGGCTCACTGAATGGGTTCTCCACATGGGAGCCAGGGGCAGAGGCGCCGCCGCCTGCAGGCCCAGCCTCTGGACTCAGCAAGTAAGGGGCCTCGCCCTCCAGCCGGCAGTCACTAGTGGTGTTTGGGATGTTATCATCATTGTTTTGATTTGCACTAAAGTTACTTCCTCTGCTCTTGTTGAGAAAATTTGAAATACTAAATGTGGACTTATGTTCTAGGTTATTTGTGACTTCCAAAATGTGGATGTCACCTACCCTGTCCGTGCTGGACTGGGGATCTGAAAAACTCCGATCACTGCTTTCAGGGCTGAGGTCTATCTTCTCTGCACTGACCACAACTCCTTCCACTTCCACAGACTCGCTGCCTTCTGCTTGGGAGGTCACATCACTCACTTCATCCTGAGGCTCAGGTGAGCTCAGGGGCTCCGATTTAACCACCACTCTCATGTGCTCCTTCTCACCAAGGCCAACCTCAGCATTTTCACACTGGAAACCACTTTTCTCAGTTACAGCTTCTTGCTCAAAACTAGTCTCAACCTGAGTTGCACGAGAGGCCATCGACAACTGTGCCATGTTGCTGGCACTGTTGTCTGACTGGCTGGGCACCTGGGCATCTTCTTGAGCACCAAAAGATTGGTCAAACATGATAGTGCTATCTTCCTGGTTGTCAGTCATTCCATCGGGTTTAGGATTATCCACAATTTTCAGAGAATCTGGTGAAAAGAACTCCTCCCGAGCATGAACCCCCGAAGGCCCGTTCTCTGCTGTGACATCTGAAATGGCAGATTCATCCATGGAGGGCCGGAGGCGCTGCCTGGCCCGCTCCTCTGCAGACTGCTTGCGCTTATGAAGGCGCCTCATAGGGAAGGGTGTCCGCTGGTCCAGGTTACTGCGCATCGATGAGCTCATGGGAGCGGGTTGCTCCTCGACACTCTGGCTAGAATTAAGGGCTGAGCTCACGATGCTTAGTCCCAGCTGCTGTAGCATAAAGGAGCGCTGCATGCGGGCACTCTGCTCCTGCACACGCTCACTGGGGGGCGACATGGGCAGTGTCCTTGTCGTCAGGTAATGTTTACATGCCTTAACAACAGAGTTCAAATGCAGGTGAGAGGCTGCCAACAAGACATCCATAACATTGCTCTCCCCTAGCATGAGGGTAGAAGTGTACATCATGTCAATCAGTGCAGCAAAGGCCTCCGCTGTCACCACCTCACTATCCAGCTGAATCATGTTCATGGTCTGATCTCCTTCTGCCACTGAGAAGAGAGCTCGGAAATGTGTGCTGCATGCTGCCAGCACAGAGCGGTGGGCTTTGAAATGTCTATTCCCCACTACAATGACACAATCACAGAGCTGGCCATGAAGTCTTTGGTAGTTCAGCTGTTGGAAAATCTGTTCAAAGTGACCGGGAAAATCCATGATCCTATAGAAAAAACAAAGAAAGAAAAGTGTTAAGACTTAGAAAAGCTTAAGTCAAAGCCAAAACACAAAGGGAATGATGGCAAAATATTTTGAATGACTAAGCCTAGACCTTTTCAAAGTTGTAATGCTGCTGGTGATGAGATGAACACCCACACACAAGACTTGTCAAGCAAAGGGCAGATTCAACTTTCAAGCCCAGGGGCGTGCAGCACACACATAGGCTCATTCACAGCTGCCCTTCACAGTTCATGTGACCCATTTAGAACAGTGAGGGTCTGTGATAGAAAAAAACGAATGTGTGGTGAAGCTGTATCTCTCCCACAGAAGTCTGTTGGCATTCTGCAATCCCTGAGGACAGTGAATTATTGCCAAGACATTACAAAGAGTCTTAGAAACCTCAAATAAGTTAAAAGGGCACGTCAACATTAGCAGGGAAGATTTCCAGTTACTGATTACTATAGATTGTGCATACATTTTTACCTACTCATTCTTGAAACCCCATTGAAAAGATACTTTCCTGGCCTGAGGATTTAGCTCAGTGGTTCTGCTGCCTGCCTTGCAAGCACAAGGTCCGGAGTTTGATCCCCAATACCAAAAAAAAAATCAAACAAAAGATACTTTCTTTTTTGTCTTAAACGTTTAAACTGTCAAAAACTCTTATAGGTTTAAGCCCTAGGGGAAAAAAATATATATAAGACCTCCCTATGTATCCCTTCCTAAAAAGGTCTTTGTTCTTTCCATGTACCTTTGCTACATGACCTGCTTCCCCACTGGATCAATATTACCTAAGCAGCTATACTTGTAATCTTATTGGCTGATTATAGTTTTGACCTACTTTGTACCCACCTCGTGATTTTGTCCCCACTTCATGATTCTGCTCTATAAAACTTCCTCTGAGAAGTGGGGTTTGTGGCAATCCATTTTGGATTTGGGTCCCCTCCTGTCTCTCAGGAATTATCTCTCTTATTAAATTTTTCCACTCTTAACCTCTACTGTTCCTTAGAATTCATTCTTCGATTTTGGGGAACATGAACTCAGCATATCTGACACCTAACCAGTTGGGAGTTATAGTTCCCCCTGTATCAGTATTTTTTTATTTACGTCATTTCTAATCTTCAGAAACACCCCTCCTGGGCAGGAATTACCAGAATTTCAAATCAGCATTTTAAAAGAAAAGTAACATTGTTTTATGCTTTTCTTTTTCAAGAAATGAATGAAAAGAATAGCTTACTTTTCAAAATGTCAGTTAAATCTAGAGTGTAAGAAACTACTCTTTCCACACACACACACACACAAAAGGCATTCATTTAAATGTCAGCTCTTAATACTCTGCTTCCTATAGAAAAAGCATAAATAGCTGGGCACAGTGGTATACACCTATAATTCTACTCAGGGGGCTGAAGCAGGAGGATCATAATGAGATCAAGACTAGCCTTAGCGAAAGCCTAAAATAAAATAAAGATTAAAGACTGGAGATGGGGGCCAGGGATTTAGTTCAGTGGTTCTGCTGCCTACCTCACAAGCACAAGGTGCTGAGTTTGATCCCCAGTACCAAAAAAAAAAAGAAAAAAAAAAGATTCAAAAGACTGGAGATGAAACTCGGCTCTCATTCTGGGTTCAATTCACAATACTAGGAGGAAAAATCCCACATAAATAGCAAAGAAATTGTGGTCTCAGAAGCACCATTTTGAGGAAATTTTCCTAGGGCCCAGAAACCTTGGAGGATAAGCTACTCATGTAACCAAAAATACCCCAACAAAGAGGTTTAAATAATAGAAATAAACAGTACAAAACAAACTTTTAATTTCCATCAGCCTAGAGATCTTCATCCCTACACTAGCTAGATCTCCCCTCCCCTCTATCTTAGTCATTGAGTTCAACTCAAATTCTCAGGCTCTTCTCACAACACTTTAGGGATGCCTACAACCTCCTGCTATGCCTTGTTGGCCGGCTATCTTCAAGGTAAAACAAAGACTAAAGACTCCTTTTCTCTTAAGGGGCTATATAAGTTCTGAAACTCATATGGTGACATTAAAGATGATCAAAATTTGAAGAAACATAGTTAATAATTCTGCAAAATTATCTGTTTTGCAAACTAATGTCTCTTTAATGGCAGCATTCTTTCATTCCAACATAATTTAAAGATTTAATTTATGATCATTTGGATTGACAATTATTTGACATTAAATCCGCTAACATCAAAGCTAATATTGGGTGCTGGGATCATAGTTCAAGTGGTGCTGCAACTGCTTGGCAAGCGCAAGGTCCTGAGTTCAATTCCTGGTACCAAAAAGAAAAGAAAAAAATCCTAAAAGCTAATAAACTGGCAATTACATTTTTGCTGTCTTTTCAGTATCAGTGTAAGTCACACTTTATAATTAAATATTAACAAATCTACTTAAGCTGATTTGAAAGATTTATGATTAAAAGATCTTAGAAAGCTCACAAATTCTCCAGGAAGGTAGGAAAGCTACACTTGGATGCCCCAATGCCAGAAAAGAACACCTAACCACATTGTGGAGCCATTCTAGAGAAATCACTTCTGCTGCTGTCAATTCTCCATCACTTGCTGCTTTGCATGAACTCTGCTCTAGATTATCCACTTAAAAGAGTGGGTGCCATTGCACCTTTCAGACCCACACTGTCTAAAACTTTCTTCATTGATGGAAATGTTCCATCGCTACAGTGTCCGCTAGTCACAAGGGGCTACTGAGCTCTTGAATGTGGTCAGTGTCTAAGAAGCTGATTTTTTTCTCTTGGCAGTGCTGGGGATTGATCCCAGGGCTTCATGTAAAGTAGGCAAGCACTTACCACTGAGTTGGAGCCACAGCCCAGGAGCTGAATTTTTTCATTTAATTTTAACTAATTTAAATATCTACTGTTCTGAGAGTGGGGCATGGTGGCGCAGCCTGTAATCCCAGCACTGGGGAGGCTGAGGCAGGAGGATCGCTGTGAGTTCTAGACCAGCCTGGGCTACCTAGTGAGTTCCAAGTCAGTATCAACTATACAGTGAGACCCTGTCTCAAAAAAAAAAAAAGTCTACTGTTCTGAATAGAGTAGTTCTAAATGCTTAATATGGTCCACATTGCTCACATCTGCATATAATTCTACCCAGGTACACATAACCAAAGGAAACGAGTTCCTGTATCTGCAGTGTAATAGCTACCAATATGATTCTACCATGGGAAAGAGGAACTCAAAATCTGCAGGCTGTTCAAATACAAAGGGAGAAGTGTTCAAAAGGTTCTGGGTAGCACAAATGTCCACTACAGCATCCCTCTGAAAACTAGAGCTCTTCTATATATGTAATATAAAGGTAACTTTGGAAATGCAGAGTTTAACTGGGTAAGAGGTGATCATACTGGATCTGAAAGAACCATAACGAGAAGACAAAAAAATTGGTGTTATACTGGATAGGAGCACAGGCAGTGTAGACATCTTCAAGTAGTATTTTATTGAATCCTGAATATTATAACAAAAATAATAAAACTCTAGGGAACTAAGAAATATAAAATATGTTTGCTTATTTTATTCTATTTTGGGGGGGTACCAGGGATTGAACTAGGGACCTTTGTTTGCTTATTTTAAAATAACCAATTACATGTTAACATTTTAATGAAAAATAACATTTTCAAAAAACAAAGGTTTCATATTTTTACACCAACAGAAGACGCCTTAATTCTTATGTACAATGTAGAAGCATATATAAAAATTTAGTTTACATTCAAGCTTTTGCAACATCACACATCACAGGGTCCATGGAAAACACTGTATACATGTGAAAGAATGAGCTTTAAAAAGAATGCTCACATTATAATGAAATGTTTTGACCTCACAGACTCCTTAAAAAAAGTCTGTAAGTTGATGGATTCAACCACACTTTGAGAACTGTTGAAAAAAACAAAACTTCTAACTACACTGGCATGAGAAATTGCAGCCCTGTCTTTTCTATCAAAGGATATAAACAGGAATGCATCCTCTTAGTGCCTAGTCCACTTTAGATGACCCCTCCCAAACACACTGGAATTACGAGAAATGCCTGCTCAGTTTTAATTCTGGGAACATAGCTGCAGACCAAAGATCGCTCATCAATAGCCAAGGACTTTTTGTTCCCCACACTGTCTTCCCTCCCACTCTTCCTTCCCCTCAGTAATCCTTCAGATACTTCCCTCAAATCACTTAAACGAGTCAATTGCTATAGACTGGCTGTCACTCTGTCCCAGGTCTCAACTCTCCCACCTGTTTGACCTGGTCTTTAATACCCAAAGGAAAAATATAACTAAAATTATTAAAAATAATAGTAACAGGGATAGATAGGGACTTAGCTCAGTGGTTCTGCCACCTGCCTCGCAAGCACAGGACCCAAGTTCCACCCCCGGTACCAAAACAAAACAAAACAAAAATAATAATAAGTTTAAATCAAAAGCTGGGCTAAATACAAAAAGTGGACAGCTCAGACCCCTTTAATTTTTTTTTGGTAGAGAAGCCTAGTGCCTTCCACCATGTGGGAGGGAAGTGGCAGGGTTGGGGGAGGAAGTGTGTGGCCTCTGCTTTTCTTTTTTTCTTTTTCTTTTGGTGCCGGGGATGAAACTTTGGCCCTTGTGCTTGTGAGGCATGCGGTAGAACCACTGTCCCAAATCCCCTAACCCCTGCTTTTCTTGGTACATGATCTATAGTTAAGTTAAAAGTCGATTTCCTTCTACAAAGATAAATTTAAGAATAAAGATAAAACCCCAAAGTTCTTTTTCACCCTCCTGATTCTTTCTGGTTATAAGTCTATACTAAGAGGCTTTTCTCTCATCTCCTTATTGGTGTTAGTTTATTACAAGAAAAGTCCACACTAATTGGTCACACTAAAAAGTTCCGACTAGTCAATTTAGAATGAGCCTACAACAGATTATAGCTATAACTCAACTTGGCCAGTTTTTCTGAGTGTACGCTGATCTAAAAATAATTGTGTGTCTGTTTTCTTTGTTGTTCATTTGTTTACCTTAAGCTGCT